GCAGCTGGTGACTACAATGACAAGCACACCCATTGAGCTCGAAACACCCACGAAACAAGCTAGACTTTATCTCTCCGGGCAAGCCCACATATTGGCCCACAGATCCAAACAAGCAACCCGACTTGATTGATTTTGCAGTTACACGAAGGGTGCTGCAAGCTCAGATTAATGTAGATCACTTAACAGATCTATCATCGGATCACTCGCCCATTCTACTTCTCCTTTACGACCATCCACAGCTTTCGGAACGCCCCCACTTTCTAACTTCTAGCAAAACAGATTGGCTAAAATACAGGAAGTACATAAGCTCTTATATTGATAGCTGCCCAAACATTAATTGTAAAGATGACATTGATAGGTCAGTCGAAGCTTTGGTTTCCTCAATGTCACTGGCGGCAAAACACTCAACACCAATATTAGCATCTAATAAACTTTCCAACAGCAGTCGTATTTCTAGGCACATTGAAGTGCTGCTACGCGATAAAAGAAGGCTTCGCCGAGAGTGGCAAGCACACAGATCACCTGCATCGAAAGAGCGGCTAAAAATAGCCAACCACCTACTACGCAGAGCCCTAGAAGATGAAAAAAAACCGAGCTCAAATATCCTATATGGAGCAACTCTCCCCAACTAGCAAACGATTCCCACTATGGAAAGCAAAATCAGGCATATGCCCACCAATCGAGAGTGAATCACCTTTGCGTACCCAAACAGGAGAGTGGGCTCGCAGCAACAAAGAGAAGGCAAATACATTTGCCGTCCATCTAGAAAACGTCTTCAAACCACACCCAGCAACGAATAGCTTTGTGCTCCCACCAACCAACAATCCCGAAGCTACTCCGCCTATCATATTCCAATCAGGAGAAGTCACAAGGGTCATTAAAGACCAAATCTCAAAGAAACCTCTGGGCCACGATTTCATCTCTCCTAAAATGATCATAGAATTGCCGAGCGGTGCAGTGTATTTCCTTACTGTGATATTCAACAGCATGATGAAATGGGGCTATTATCCTCAAGAATGGAGGAAATCAGTCATCACAATGATCCATAAAGCCGGAAAAGACAAGTCCAAGCCATCATCATATAGACCTATCAGCCTACCTTGCCTATCAAAGATATTTGAAAAGCTGCTCCTGAATCGTATCAAACAACACCTGCACATAAACGGTGCCATCCCGACTCACCAATTTGGACTTCGCGAAAAACACGGAACCATTGAACAAGTAAACCGTATATCCTCTGAGATACGAAATGTATTTGAAAGACGGGAGTATTGCTCCGCAGGTTTTCTGGATGTCGCCCAGGCTTTCGACCGCGTTTGGTTAGATGGCTTAATCCACAAAATCAAAATATTACTTCCACAGAACATCCATGGAATATTGGAGTCATACCTACAGCAAAGAAGTTTCGCAGTACGATGCAAAGATTTCCTCTCTGAATATTTTCCAATTGAAGCTGGTGTACCGCAAGGCAGCGTGCTTGGACCGACACTGTATATCATATACACAGCAGATCTACCGACAAACAGCCTAACAACAACTTCGACATTTGCTGATGATACTGCCATATTAAGTCGCTCCAAGTGCCCAAGAAGGGCCACAGATCACTTATTATCTCATCTGGTGGCCTTAGAAAAATGGGTAGCAGACTGGAGGATATATGTAAATGAGCAAAAGTGCAAGCATGTCACCTTCACGTTAAACAGACAAACTTGCCCTCCATTATGTCTGAACAATATCAACATTCCACAAACCACCGAAGTAACATACCTTGGTGTTCATCTGGATAGAAGGCTTACTTGGCGTAAACACATCGAAGCGAAGAGAAATCTACTTAAATTTAAAGCTAGTAATCTACATTGGCTAATAAACACCCGTTCACCACTAAAACTGGAGTACAAAGTACTTTTGTACAATGCAGTTCTCAAACCCATCTGGACATACGGCTCCGAGCTATGGGGAAATGCTCGCAACCTTCCAAAAGTTATTTTTTGTTCCAAACCAAACCTAAAGTATGGAAAAAATGAACAAAAAATACCTTTTCGAAGGTTGCGGGCCCAACTGCCAATTGCTGGGTGTGGTTTGAAGACGTTTTCTAGATGGACGGCAAATGTATTTGCCTTCTCTTTGTTGCTGCGAGCCCACTCTCCTGTTTGGGTACGCAAAGGTGATTCACTCTCGATTGGTGGGCATATGCCTGATTTTGCTTTCCATAGTGGGAATCGTTTGCTAGTTGGGGAGAGTTGCTCCATATAGGATATTTGAGCTCGGTTTTTTTTCATCTTCTAGGGCTCTGCGTAGTAGGTGGTTGGCTATTTTTAGCCGCTCTTTCGATGCAGGTGATCTGTGTGCTTGCCACTCTCGGCGAAGCCTTCTTTTATCGCGTAGCAGCACTTCAATGTGCCTAGAAATACGACTGCTGTTGGAAAGTTTATTAGATGCTAATATTGGTGTTGAGTGTTTTGCCGCCAGTGACATTGAGGAAACCAAAGTTATTTTTTGTTCCAAACCAAACCTAAAATATGGAAAAAATGAACAAAAAATACCTTTTCGAAGGTTGCGGGCCCAACTGCCAATTGGGAACAAAGCAAACAAAAAAGGGTTGTACATTTGGTACCTGATCGCGATCCCAATTCCCAATGGGAATTGGGCTCGCAACCTTCCAAAAGTTATTTTTTGTTCCAAACCAAACCTAAAATATGGAAAAAATGAACAAAAAATACCTTTTCGAAGGTTGCGGGCCCAACTGCCAATTGGGAACAAAGCAAACAAAAAAGGGTTGTACATTTGGTACCTGATCGCGATCCCAATTCCCAATGGGAATTGGGCTCGCAACCTTCGAAAAGGTATTTTTTGTTCATTTTTTCCATATTTTAGGTTTGGTTAACGAATTTTAGCTCAAAAGTCTCTCCATAGATTTTAATGAGCGATATCTTGACGACGCCAAATTAATGCACCTATACACAAAAAAATAGAGGACACAAGATATAATTTTTTTTCGACTTTTCCTGAGTTTTTAAAGTCAAAATTTCGTAAAAAATACCGCACAAAAATCATCATTTTTGCATTTCAATGCTTTATATTTCCCAGACGTTAAGCTGTAATCACAAAGTGTTTAGGCTTAATTATATTTTCAAAACAGCAAAGTTCTTTACAACCAGACGTAAGATACTAGAGTTATGTGAAAAAAACAAGCGCTACCTCTGAAAAAAGCTTAAAAAAAATACCAGTTTTCAAAAATTCTTAAAAAAAAAGTTCTGCCATAGAAAAAAAAAAAATATCATCAAACCATTTCTAAGCCCCAAATCTTTAAGAAAAAGTTCGTTTTGTTCCTTGAGGAAAAATCGTGTTGACTAGTGTTACATGTGAAGGTGATGAAGAGGTCTGGTCGACCGTAACGGCGAACGTATGACATCGCATCTTGCGCGTACTCAAGCATATGACGTGGACTTCCAACATACAATGACGGTAATATTATCATAGTTCCAACGTTTTGTGCATTACCATCGTTGTTAATGGCATCACGCAAATGAACATACTCTTCGGAACGTAATTTGGCTTTGTTGAATCGAAGAAAATTTAAGCGTTCCGAGCGTTAAGCGTTACTGGTGGAAAAGTGCTCTACACCTCAATATGTGGTTGTCTTGATTTTGCTGTATCTTCAGCCTGTATGCGTAATAATTCATAGCACTAACTTTCTTTGTTCCTTCTCGACCGTTTACTGGATTTATCATTTTAATGTTGAAATTATAGCCAGCTTGTCTGCTCCAAAACAATATGGGATATTGTAGTGCATCATAACAGCGATGAGTCTCGGATACACGTTCAAGTTGTTCATTTCTACGATGAAGCACAATATCGCGATTATTAAATTGCTCACCTGAAAACTCACCTCACCTCAAAACCTGAACGAATTCGTTGTGCTCATGGAACATATTTTGCAAATCGAAAATAATTTGTCTCCGCGTGTTGGTAATAATGGCACACCGACGATAAGCTTCGTCTTCCGCGTTCCCGATAAAAATGAATTGCAAAAATTGGCCAGCAGACATCGAGACGGACGGCAAAGCCGGCAGCGCAGCCAGCGACAAGCGCGACGCCTCAGTCACGAGGGGCAGCGGCCACGGGCACGACGACGGCTCCGCTAACCAAGGAGGAGCTGCAGGAGGATTAGGAATGGTTTAAGGAGGCAGTCAAGGCCATATGGAGGAGCCGTATGGAGCAGCAACGAAGTCGGCGCGCAGCGGCAGAGGACCCACACAGATCTTTTTCTACAAATTTATAGTATTTATTATAATATTTTGAAATACAAAAAATTTATTTTTTTTTAAAATTCATTTTTAAAATCTTTTAACTTAAAAATAAAAAATTTATTTAAATAGTCCGCTGATTTATATTCCAAAATACAAAAATATTTTTAAAAAATATTACTAATTTATTTTTTGAGTTATTAATTATTGCCTGCCAGATTGGCAGAATCGACCACTATGCTCCGGTGCCTCCGCTGCCGTCTCCTCTGCTGCCCTGGCCTCCGCCTGCCTTCGGTGCTGCCGTAACTCCATAACTTCCTGCGCCTCTGAGGGTGCGGGCCCCGACGCCCACGTGATGTGGATGGCCTGATGGTGCCACACCATACAATTCCTCACAGCTGTGTGAACGCTTTGTAACACATATGTAACTCACACCGCGTTTTCCGTACCACCCCCCTGGGACTGCTGTCCCTGTTGCCGCGGCGGCTACTTCGACGACACCTGCCGTCGTGTTGACGACTACGGTGGCGGCGATTGCGGTGGCTCGGGATGCCGGCGTTCCCATAAGGGCGCCTCTTAACCCTGTTGCGGTTGCTGCTGTCCCGACGGGCTGTTGAACAGGCCCGTCTTCACCCGTAAGAACTTCGGAGGAGGCGGAGCCTCCCCCTCGTTCTCCTTGCGGCCACCATCTGCCGATGCGGGTGGCCAGTACATCGCTGCCTCTCTTCGCGCCTCCTGCAGTGCTGCCTTCCTTCAGGCCTCTTCATCGCGTTGTCGCCGCTCCGCCTCGCGTCGGTCCTCTGCCATTCCTAATCCTCCTGCAGCTCCTCCTTGGTTAGCGGAGCCGTCGTCGTGCCTGTGGCCGCTGCCCCTCGTGACTGAGGCGTCGCGCTTGTCGCTGGCTGCGCTGCCGGCTTTGCCGTCCTTCTCGATGTCTGCTGGCCTCCTCGTCGGAAGTACCGTCCGATGCGCAGCCTGCGACGTCGCCGGCCTTATCGTTGGATGCGATGCTGGCGTCGGTGGCGGCTGCGCTGAGGGCTGCGTCGTCCGCTGCAGCGGCACCTCTGCCGTTGACCGCGTGGTTGCCAACGGCTGCTGCGGCTCCTGTTGCCCTGCAGCCTTGCGTCTCCTCTCACGCAAATTTTTTGGTCAAATTTTGGACCAGTCTATTATACATATATGTATATCATATATCATGTCAATTTTTTTAGCAAGAAGCGTCCACCAGAAATTGAATCTACGAAGAATTCTAAGAATCTTTCACCATTAAACTATGTATCTAAAATCAATTCCTAGCTCAGGCTGAGAAGCATGAAGATTTCATTCTGCAGTATTTATATCCGTACTCATATAAGAGTTAACGGGTATATTCGATTTTTGGTATAAGTAGATGTGTGTAACGCAGAGAAGGAAACGTTTCCGACCCCATAAAGTATATATATTCTTGATCAGCATAAAAGCCGAGTCGATAGAGCCATGTCTGTCTATCTGTCTGTCCATCCGTCCATCTTGTTTGTCGCCTGGATCTCAGAGACTATAAGAGTTAGGGCAACCAACTGGTTTCCAGACTCATGTGATATCACAATGCTACAAGTGCTACCTTCTGGTAAAGTGGAGGGAGACGATTTGCCGTCGACCAGTGCCCAAGCCAAATATACCTATGCCGAAAAGAGGAGTGCAGGTCACATACTCCGTCGGCAGAACGCAAGCACGGAGACCAGCCCGTCGGCCGACTGGTTGAAGAAGGTGGAGTGGGCCACGGCGGTGCTCCCCGACTTCAGTTCCTCAGCCTAAAAGGCAACGCTCCCAGGAGCCGCCAGGACCTACGGCAAAACGCTCAAGGGTCCTGGCAAATATATCCTTCGCACAGATTGCCAAAGAAAGGACACTTTTTGGTGTCCTGGATAGAGGCAGTGCAGATGGAAGGATTCCAAGGAACCAGTGGAAGTGGGTGGAAGCGGCATTGGCCGACCGCTGCTTCGAGCTGCTGGAAAAGGACCTTGGACCACCCCCAACCTGTAAGGACATGGGTTCCAGGGCAACACGAAGATCGTAGCCTGCGAAGACGAGCGCTCCGTACAGCTGTACAAAGCAGCGGTAGCGCAAGTCGGAGAGGTCTACCCAGGATCGAAGCTCGTCGCGGTAGACTGGAGCGAAGTGCCCAATAGACCGAGGGCCAGAATCTGAGTGCCCACCTCAATAAAGGAGCCGGAGCGCATCCTCAAGATGTTGCAGCGATGCAACCCACACCTTCCTACCGAAGACTGGAAGGTCGTGAACGTTGAGGCGACGCAAGGCCCCACAAACCAAGTGGTGGTCATCCTCAACAACGATTCGCTGGCCCCGATCGAGGCCGCTAAAAGTGAGCTAAACTTCGGCTTCAGCTCGGTCACCATCAAGGTGTACAAGTCGGACGCAGCGAGACCCGAGGCCCGTCCTGTCGACAAGCCAGTCGAACAGGAGGTGGCCTCGGAGATCGAAGCACCCATGATGAGCTGGGGCCGGAACAGGATGGCTACCTAACGGACTCGACCCTCATGAAGGAGTTCGAGGCTATGTGTTGCGAGGACGGGCAGGTCACCGACAACTCGGACGCCGACACGACAGTGGTGGAGATTGATCATAACGATGTCTCTAAGACTTCTGCAGATCAATCCCCACCACTGTAAAGCAGCATCTGCTGATCTTATACTCTACTTGGTTTCAAGCGGAGTCGACGTAGTCCTAATCCAGGAGCCTTGGGTGGTAGGAGGTAAGGTCTGTGGATTAGCGACAAAGGACTAAAAGCTTAATGTAGCCCAAACGGAAGGTAAAAATCGTACCTGCATACTTGCAAAAAGACACCTAAACATCTTTCTGCTCCACAATTTTAGCAACGGCGACAACACGGGGGCTAGCCTAGAGATGCAGGGGACACACCTAAGACTGGTGTCGTCCTACATGGCCCACGAGGAAATCGATCCTCCAAGTGACCTCGTTCGCAAGCTAGCCAGCGACAGCGAGAGGTCTAATACAGGCCTCATAATAGGCTGCGACGCCAACGCTCACCACACTCAATGGAGGAGCTCGGACACAAATGTAAGGGGTGAGTCACTTTTCAGCTTCATCCTCAACTCGAATCTGGTTATTTGTAATCAGGAACGAACCCACCTCCATTATAAAAAACCGGCAGGAGGTTATCGACCTCACTTTAGTGTCTGTCAGACATAATTAAGAGTTGGAAAGTCTAGAGGACCACTCCTTCTCTGATCATAGTTATATTGAGACAGTCCTATCTCTCGAAAACCCTAAACCCACTGACTACATAAACCCCAGGAAAGCCAACTGGGATATATATAGTTAAAAAATGGAAGAACTACTTCTCCCTTTAGCACCAAAATGCCCGGACACTCAAGATGATCTTAATCGTCTAGTGGACAATTTCACGGAAGCATGCAAAAATTCCTTCACGGCAGCATGCCCCTCAACCAAACCTAGGGGGAAAAAGAAACCCCCCTGGTGGTCAGAACAAATAGATATCCTACGTAAAAGCTGCAGGACTCTTTTCAATAGAGCCAAAAGCTACAACGAGGAGGAACACTGGGCAAACTATAAGAGTAAGCTAGCCCTATATAAGAGGGAAACTAGGAGAGCAAAAAGAGCCTCTTGGCAAAAATTTTGCTCTGACATTGAGGAGACGTCGGAGGCCGCGAGGCTCCGTAAGATCGTCTCAAAAACAGCCCCCTCGGTGGGATACCTCAAAAGAATGGATGGTACGTGGACCAACTCTAGTGAGGAATCCCTACATATTCTACTCTAGACACATTTTCCAGGGTGCACAACCATCGAGCCGGCAGACCCCCCCACTGATGGCCCGGCAACATCGATGGCGCACATCCTCACCCAAAAGGAACATCAGCTGGGCAATAAATAGCTTTAGTTCCTTCAAATCACCTGGTCCCGACCAGGTCATTCCGGCTCAAAGTGCAAAGTGTTGGCATATGCGGACGATGTTGCCATCATCTTCTCGGGAAAATTCCCTCAAACACTTTGCGATCTAATGACTGCAAAGCTCACGCGACTGTCTGAATGGACAAAGTCACGAGGTCTGGGGTCAATCCCTCGAAAACGGAACTTGTATTGTTTACAACCAAATACAAAGTTCCTCCTCTCAACCCCCCAATACTAAACGGATGCAGGCTCTCCTTCAGCGACAATGCCAGATACTTAGGGTTGGTAATTGACAAGAAGCTGTATTTAAACCTGAATATCAAAGACAGAGTGAAGAAGGCCACGATAGCCCTCTACACTTGCAAAAAGGCAATTTGCTTGAAATGGGGCATGAACCCAAGCATAGTCCAATGGATATACCTAGCAATAGTTAGGCCAATGCTACTCTACGGCGTCGCAGTGTGGTGGCCTGCCCTATCAAAAAAGACCATCACTAAACAACTGGGCAAAGTAAAACTAACTGCCGCCCTATGCATCAGTGGAGCCCTACGCACCCCACCAAACGATGCACTAAATGCCATCCTATGCCTCCAGAGCCTAGACCTTGCAGGCAGGGAGCAGGCAGCAATTCGTCTGAGAGACTCCGACCAATGGGTGTCACATCACACTGGTCACGCATCTATCCTAAACGGAAACGTGATTGTCCCAACAAAAACGGACTACTGTGTTCCGAGGGAGTACATACATACTTCTTTTGAAATAATTATCCCCCACAGAGACAACTGGCTCGAGGGACCAACTGGCCCAGTCGGAGCCATACAAATCTTCACAGATGGTTCAAAACTGGACAATAAGGTCGGAGGGAAAGACACTCTTTCAGGCTTCCAGATCACTGCAGTGTCTTCCAAGCGGAAGTCATAGCGATCAACGAAGCTTTGGGGTGGCTTTGTGAAATTGCCACTACGGGATCTCATTTAAACATCTATAGTGACAACCAAGCTGCGATCAAATCGCTAAATGCGATAACATCGAGCTCGGCTACCGTTGCAAACTGTCGCAAATCTCTCCATGAGATGGATCATCAGTTTGTTATCAGCCTAAAATGGGTCCCTGGCCACCAGGACATTGAAGGCAACTGCATAGCAAATGAGCTGGCCAGAACTGGAACTACAATCCCCCTTCTCCAAGACAAGGAGGACATTCGTATGCACATGGCCACTTGTAAGCACATTATAAAAGAGCACTTCAAACTACTAGCAGACAATAGGTGACAAACTGTACCGCAATGTCGCATAACTCGGCTAACATGGCCTAGTATCACAAAGAAGCGCACCACTGAGCTCTGCAAGCTCAGCAGAAAAAGGTGCAGCTCAGTCATACGCTCCCTCACAGGACATTGGCTAATAGGCACCCATGCTAACAGGATGGGTGCCCCCTACAACGACTTCAGTCGTAGTAGTAGAGATGGGGACGAGGAAGAAACGGTTCCGATCATTTTGGGCTACACTTAGTACTTGGCTTTCAAAGATGAAAAGTGTTCTTATTTCAAATTAGCCCTAGCCCTTAACATTTCGGCTGCTTTCGTAAATAAAAAAAAAAAATTTGGTTAATTACAACAAAAAAATATACAAAAAATTTTTTGTGAAAAGATTCATCCGAATTGAGCTCAAAATGATCGGAAAATGTTTTACTTTTTTGTTAATACCTTAAATTCCTTAAAATAATAAAAAAAAATACTGCAGCCTGAAATATTAATGCTTCTCAGCGGGATTTAGGAATTAATTTTAGATACATAGTTTCTTGGTGAAAGATTCTAAGAAATCTTTTTAAGTTCTGATTCTGGGGAACGCTTATCACGTTTTTTTTTTGTCCCATACAAATAATATCCTAATATCTATATATATCCTCCCAAACGGCTCGACCGATTTTCATGAAATTTTTTTTCGTATATTGAGTAGGTCTGCGCATAGGTCGTAAAGTAATATCGCGATTTTAGTTTTTTTGAGATCAAGTAGTACTTAGATTTAGCTGTCAGTTTCTTATTTGACATAATCTAATAAATTAGATTAGATTAGATTCAGATTCGGCAATATGATATATGGGCATTCTCTACGATACTGCTTTTTTAGTTTTATCGTATCTCTAAAATTGTGCCTGCCACAGATTTTCGTCCTTTGTGGTGGCGGAAGGGGGCGGGGCGAAATTTTGAAATACACTTGTAGCAGTGTGATATCACATGAGTCTGGAAACCAAATTTGGTTACCCTAACTCTTATAGTCTCTGAGATCCAGGCGCTCAACAAGACGGACGGACAGACAGACATGGCTATATCGACTCGGCTATTGATGTTGATCAAGAATATATATACTTTATGGGGTCGGAAACGTTTCCTTCTCTGCGTTACACACATCCACTTTTACCACAAATCTAAAATACCCCTTAACTCTTTTTTGAGTACGGGTATAAAATAAGAAGGGAGCTGGCGAGAAAATATGGAGGGCCCCAGATTGACGGTTGCCCAGGGCCCGGTTGAAGGTTGATCTGCCCCTGAATAGGTCGATTTTGGTTTTAATCTTTAAAATTTAATGTTGTTATTTGTTTATATTTACAATGGGGAGCCGAATCGAGGTGGCAAAATTAAAAAATATTTAATGAACGCTTTGAATAAAATAAATGTCCACATCTAGTAGATCATTTTCCAGAGCTTTAGCGAATCTAATTTTCAAGATAATATTAGTTTAGGAGATATGAGCAGAGATAACATGCTTTATTTTTATATATTTTACTAGCAGACCCGCGCGCTTCGCTGCTTACTAAATGAATTTAATGTTTAGGAATTCATCGAAATTAAAAAATGATAATTTTGATGTAATGACATATTTTATTTATTGCAATGCTTTGTGATAAACAATATTCTTTGTTTTGCCGTCGGTACAATGAATAATTAATGCCGAAGGTTTGCCTACTCGTGAGCACGCTACGTACAGTTGACCATGTGAAAATACCGGATGCTCCAAATTTAAACCACAAATTTGCAACGACTGTCCTTGTGATTTATTAATAGTCATAGCAAAAGCAAGACGAATCGGAAATTGAAGTCGTCTGAAATCAAATGGCATGTCAGTCGGAATCATCGGAATTCTCGGAATTAAAATGTGTTCACCACAAAATTTCCCAGTTAAAATAGTTGCTTCAAGTAAATTAGTCAAAACTTTTTTCACAGCAAGTCTTGTACCATTGCAAAGTCGTGGTGGATTAAGATTCCGCAGCATAATTATGGTGGCTCCAA